AAAAGAATTAATTAGAAAACGAGGATCGATTGTTCCAATAACAACGTTCGTTTCAAGTAACGTGTTTACACGATACCTGTTCGACGCCATCAGATATGGTCGTTCCGTACGAGTAGGCGAAAGGTTTCTGTCTTACTATTTACTACACCGAAACCACCCCTAGATGAAACAGATATAGGGGCACTTGAGAAGGAAAAAGGTCGGACACCCGCCCGTCGTTAGTAAACCTGCGATGCTTGTTTACCCAACAGATTGTAGAAACGTCGACCGAGCGAATCTGCTGATAACGTCGAACAACGTTTACCTTATCTCAACTCGTTATTAATATTTCTAATGGGAGATCGGAGAATAATTTGATCTACATAAAATAATGTAAATTAACTAACTATTAATTCAATGACTGTTACATAAACAATTATCGGCGCTCTGTTACGAATTGTTAACGGATCGGGAATGATACAATAAATTCCGTTATTAATGCGACTTACAACAACTCCAATCATTGCTCGGTATTTATCAACGACGCCAATCCGAACGTTTCAAATTTCCAATTCAATTTTAACGAACGCGGAGCATCCTATTTGTGCTTAAAGGGAAACACAGGCTATTTTCGGAAGCATTTCCATGAAATGAAAATTCTCGCAAAGAAGGGTCTCGTACGCATCGATGACGTCAAAACGCTCCCATAGTCAACACCCTTCGACCCACGCTCCCATGAACGAAACGTTAAATTTCTGCTCCCCGCAGAAATCGCTGTCGCGCAGCCGTTATCTTTTAGATAGTATAACAAACGAAAAAAAAAAGAAACGCGACACTCGAGGTAGCTTGTGTGACTCTCGCGCGGCACGTTCTTAGGAGCGATCATTGTCGAAGCGATATCTCAGATCGAGAATGGTGAATGCAGACACAAAGGCGCCTTTATTTGCGAGCGAGAATAACCGATAAGACGCGCTTTTGCTGATAATGAACGCGACTTGATATTCATTGGAGATTGCGTTCGTCTCTCCAACGAGATTACATTCGGAGGAAAGCACTTGTGCTATTTGCTTCTTTGTACTTTTATAATTTGAAGAATGTTTACCTAGTGGGAGTAGTTATTTCGGAGGATACATTTTGTTTACTTATATGCGACACAAACGCAGAACTTTCAGCTGTTTGCCACAACGGTCAATTAATTTTCCAATGTCGATCCTAAAAATAGTCCAGCATAATTCCAACGGAATCATTTATTCAAATGACTTTATCATTCTGCGCCGTGCAAGTACCTTTAAGCACACGTTACTTTTCCGTCTCCGACATTTGATTGATATCCTCCTGAATTATTTAGAAACGCGGTTCCCAATTGTTTTGATCGGTATAATACTCAGACCGCCGCCGAGAATACATTAAAACCAGTCAATAACTGTTTAAAAATGGAATAGCTCCTCCATTAAACGAGTCAAATTTGGGTAGCCGGTGGTGAGTGTAATTTTAGATTGTACTACTCGTTCTGCATAAAGATTTCATTCTAGATTGTCTTTCCTTGGCTATAAATTACGCGGTCGCGTTGCAATTTATTCGACGTAATTGTGGGTTTCCCGGATAATTTCCCATAATTTGTTTTCAAGGAGCATCGGGTGAGTTCGCTCGAATTAATTACTTTCATCAACGCCACCGTTACCCTGGATAGCGTAAGATAATTGTCGATACGGATTAATAACGAAATAAACGGAATTAAGCGAACGGCGTCGCATTTTTTTTCCACGCCAATCGCCCTAATTCGCCGACATGGAATCCCATGCGAGGGACAGCTCCGGTGTAATTATGACAAATTGATCGTGAACACATCGGCCCTGATTACGACTACCGACACGTACTATTCCGTTTCCAAGTGCCGCTGCCATAGCGTGGCGCGTTTCGTTCACTTTTAAGTAATTAAACTAAAGCATGTACAGGCTAGTAAAGTGTTGCAAACATTTTTTCTCAAAAACTAACGAAGATATCGATTTCATTTTCGCGTTATACGAATCGTTCTGTATACTACAGAAGAGTGAAAGAAATTAGGCTACGTTGATACGGTTGTCCTCATTTTTCGATGAAAAAGATAAAGTGTGCTACACGATATTTCTTTCTAATTTAAAATCTGATATTTGTACATTTCTGGGGGCATTATTTATGGAACGGTCTCGTTCTAAATATTCGATTTGAATGAACGTTATAGCGTTCAGCGAGTAGCTATTACGGTCAGGTATTGCGTAGATAAATCTTGCACGAATATTTTCTAGGAATTCGTCCAACGAAATGTTCCCGAAACGACATTTTTGCGCACGCGAATATCTCTCACCCGAAATCAAACGGAAGCGGTAGGTATATCTTATATTCATGGAATCGATGAGTCAGATATGATTTTTGGAGAAAGCAGAGTTCAAGGATTAACTTTATAATTTCTTGGTGGATCTACTCAATTAATCAAGAAACTCCTAAATCGTATGCATGGAAGACATTAATATGCAGGAGAAATAAACAAAAGTATGATGCAAATCGTTTGTAAACGAAAGTCTATACCAAGTTTCATACAAAATGGTAGCATTAGTATTATTAACGCGTTGGTCTCCATATGGGTTAGGTTTGGATTACGAAGCTTTTCACCAAGAAATTAAAAGAATGAATTCCCAAAGATTACGTAGTTCCGAATCGTTTCGAAATGACATTTAACAGAAATTTTCTCGAATATTAGCCTGGCAGTTGGCCCGTTAAATATGGATTCCGGATACGTTCAAAATGGCGTCGAGTAGGGAAAATGTGCCGAAGTAACGAATTAACTCGAATTTGAACCGATCCTAGAAGCGAGGAAACATTCGGTCACGATCTGCACCGAGGAATATCTAGATGATCGATCTGAAGTCGCCAAGGTACGCGCACAGGGTTGCTCGGGTAGGAATTCGCCCTCGAAAGTGGAGTAGAATCGAAACCGGTAGTGCGCGGTGGTAGGTGGTTGAAAGCAATATGGCGGACGGTGGTTGAATGCGCGCGCCGATCGACATCGTGGTCCAGGGTCGTGCATGCCCGCTTTCTCCGTTTATGGACCAATCGCATCGCGCCTAGAGGAGAAAATCAATAGGCGTAGGAGCCACGGATGACGTCAGCCTGCAACCCGACGATCGACCGATGCGACGCGGGCGGCGCCGGCCAATTTCTACGAAGCAATCAATAAGTAAAGATATCCACGATGTCGGCAAATAGCACCTGACGTATCTTTATTCCGAACGACTCCTAAACATCTAGAAGCATTACTCGAATGGAATACCTAGACACTCGTCGAGCACTACTACAAAATCTAACCCCACAGCGCCACGTTTCATTTTTAGATACGTTAACATCGTCACCGGACGCTGTCGTTACTTGCATCTTTGTATTGCTTGCGATCGTTTTCCAAGCAAGCACGAGCAAAAATTTCGGTTCTACGTCACGGGTTTCGTTCTATAATATCTTAAACGAGAACTCGAAAAGTATAGAAGGAATAGTTTTTTTCATGATATCTTTTATTTACAGGGATGCAGATGTCGACTGATCGTTCTTCCGAGATTCGCGCTTTAAGAACTGAAGCGACGACTGAAATAAAAATGGTGAATTCCTTGGAAAGAGTCCTACGAAACTATTTGTCCGTAATTTCGTACTGTGGGTTACACATACATATGTACCCAATAGCATTGACGTGTGTTCATTTTTTATGAGGCGCCGTTCCGGAAACGTGACTAGGGCATCCATGAATATGTTCTCTATCATAAAAGAAGAGTAAATTCTAGTACCGAGGTTTACGTTACTTTCTTTTTGCCACGTAAAATTATAATTCAACTAAATCCGATTTGGTTTCATTTTCCATCGCGACAAAATTAAAAGAATGAATTAAAACATATTTTTACAATGTCCCCTATTTCAAACAAAAATTCGAATTTTTTAATGGCCTGATCGTCGAGGAATATTCATACTTGAATAGTCAGCAGTCGAACCCACAATATTCCTCAACGAACTTAATTTGGCAAAAAGGTTTACTTTTACACCCCGTGATCCTTTCAGCACCAGCCTTCCGTGAGGTTGCACCTGTATACTCTAATTTCAAAAAACCCTAGCCCGGAAGTGTGTTACACTTCTCCAGTAACGATCCACGAGCCGAATGTATTCGTGTAAAAGTATACCACGAGGTAGCTACGTGTTTTCCTAGCAAGGAAAAAAAATAAAGAACCGTAGGAAAAACGAGTCGATTCGTTGCGCGTTGACTGGGACGAAAGCGCCACCTTCGTAATTAACGCGTCTGGTAATGCCACTAACGTTGTGAATCATTCTGCAACACGCTGCGAACATGTCTCCCGATTAACTACTTTCAGAATTTATTACATAGAATGACACTCGTCGACTACGTACTGCTCGATATTCGTCTGAATGCACATGAATTAAGGTCATATACGCCAAACCCTTTTAAACATTCATCTTAATATCATAGAAACATTTACATGCATGTTTCTATAACAAAAATCTTAAGTAAATGATCAATTACAAACGTTTCATACAGGTCTTAAAAGTAATCAAATCTGTCCAAAAAACTTTTCTTAAAACGCGACGAAGATATAAAGCAATTTGGATTCTAAACGTACTTTTGCATTTTTTTTTTTAAATTATTACAATGCTTTGCGACTGACTTCCGACACCTTTACCGATTGTCATCGTTGCAACATAGAACTAACAGAGGCAACAACGAAGCACTGAGACACAGAAGAACGCAGTGCTAAAGAAATTTAAAAAGTGTCTGACTATGGTTGGACGCATCTACTGTGCATTCAAGTTAATAACACAAAAGGGGAACACGATTTCTGACGTAGACCAAACGAGGACTCGCGATACATGACCCATTGCGTACAAAATAAACCTATGATGCCTATAGGGATGATGCTAGATTCTTGTGATAATAACGAACATGATATTTAGCGAAACTGCTTAAAGTGACAAGAACGCTTTTCACTCACCAGATACGTAGGCAGTGACGTGAAAACAGCTGAGGTACTCCTGCCATACTGGTTCTAGTTCCGCGACGTTCCTCGAAACACAGCGTGTACGCGTCGCAACGCGAGGCAACTCGACTCTAACCGATCGATTATTAACACGACGAGTTAGGGGTCTTTTTCTTCTTTCTCGGCACTCACTCGTGCAGCTTACCAACCGTGTGGCGCTGTCGACCGTTCCTTCTTCGCGGAGCGTTCGTAACACTTCACAGTGTTTCGATCGCGCCAAATATAAAACCACCGATAAGATATTACATAGATAGGACGTACAATGGGAATTTCTAACTCGTGCACTGCAGTACTGACCGCGTTAAAAATCAGCGGTTCTGTGGCGCTCTCTATGCTCGAAGACGGTGATTCCAGGAACCACGTTCACCTTCATCACCGAAGTCGGTAAAAGTTTGTAATCTTGGTCTTTTGATAATGGCTCTATCAAACCTGTACAGAAAGTATCGTAACAATGAGTTCCATCCATTCTCACAGCTTGATGCGGGAACAGATGGAACTTAACATGTTAGAGAAAACTGAGAATAAATTACTTGAAATATCGCGTCTCTGATATCTTTCAAATTGTAGAGAAATGGAAAATAATTTTTTCAATTATTGTAAGGAAGTTACCAAAATATGTAACGGTATCCATATGCAAAAAATAGTACTAAAATATAAATGATACTTTACTGATAATATAAAGACGAACAAATTTGTTTTGATAGGTTCATTATTACATATGAGTACAGTACATATGAAATATATGTAAATATAAAATTGTGAACGCCTTATTAGGATAATTAAGACGACGAAAAATACGAAATGATGTTTAGGAAAAAAATTCGTACTAAATAACCGGTATCGATACTAACGTAGTCTCAGATGCAATCACTAAATGTAACCATTTACTCTAACATCCAGCAGCACTCTTGAAACGAGCACTAACGTCGTTCCAATTAACAATGTCGAAGATCGCTTTAACATAGTCCGGTCGAACATTTTTGTATTGCAAGTAATAGGCGTGTTCCCAAACATCGATGCCCAAAAGCGGTACTAAACCAGTCGTCGCTTGCAATGGATCCTGATTACTGCATGTCGCTATCCTTAGCGACTTTGCCTGCTTATCGTATCCAAGCCAACCCCAACCAGAACCCTGGACTGCAACAGTACTTTCAGATAGGCGTTTCTTCATTTCTTCCATGCTACCAAAATCCTTTTCAATTTGTTTAACGAGAGCAGCTGAAAAATGAAAAGCATTTTACATTTAAGGTGTATCTGCTTCGCTGTTCAAAGGATTTACTTCTAAAAATATTTACCATCTGGTTTACCACCATTTGGCGACAAATTGCACCAGAAAATCGAATGATTCAAATGACCACCACCATTGAATTTGATTGCAGGTCCCAGTGCAATTTGTGTGTTGACATCTCCTTTTGCCACAGCATCTTTCAGCTTCTCCTCAGCAACGTTTAAATTATTCACATATGTTGCATGATGTTTAGAGTGATGGAGCTGCATAATTTCAGCACATATGATTGGCTCCAGAGCTTTGTAATCATAGGGTAACTCAGGAAGTGTATGCTTCGACCTTTTAAATGCATCTTTGCTATGGACCATAGAAAGAGAGAGTTAGTTTAGTTTATTTGCAATATATGAATTTTTAAAAGTGTGCAGCAGAAAGTTTAAAAAAAAATCAATTAAGCAACCCTGGAATAAAACAAAGATAAGAATTGATACATCATTAAAAATAATCTGTATAATTTAAGTAATAATTGGTTCATTTTAAATTCGATAAACGATTACTTTTTCTCTACGTTTTAATCGAGGCAACATTGATACTCATGTCATATTGACAAAGTACTTATCTAACCTTTATGCCAGAGGTCAAACTAAATTTAAATGTATTTCTACATTGATACTTAATATAAAGAGTTGAAAAATTGTATATTAAGTATGATGTCAAATTTGCTTTAAGGATCAATGTCTTTTAATACAAATGAAAAATTTGTTCGAACTTGACAGATACATCGAAAACACATCACGAAATGTCGTTCACAAATTTTCAATAAAGTGACGACCTGCATAACTAGATTACAGAATTTAATTCTGTAACCTAATTATAAAAATTATTGTACGAATTGAAAAATATATTTATTTAACTGTAGAAACTATCGCTACGCCATAACAGATATTATCGATTCCAAATCTCAAGAATAGTTACCTAATTATTTCTTAAAACACAATTGTCATGTTTTTAAATGAAAGAATAAATACAAATTCGCTGTACACGAAATACTTAATAATAATAAAGGTATAGAAGAAACTAGAGGTTGGAAATTATATAATATCGTTTGTATCAATGTACATAAGTGAAAAACAAGACAAACTTACATTGTACTGGATAACAAAGTGCGTCTCGCCGCGAACATTGTTGTAATTTTAACAAATAAAATTGCCTGTTAGGAAATGTAATCGAAAGTTGCAAAACGAGAACGTATTCCAACCTATCGCGAACCGGTGCAAATATCACAATGCCGTGAAGATCGCAAAATGGTTCGACTTCGAGTACCAAACGCGCCAGTATCGTTTATTACGTCACAATTTGTCCTATAGAGATAAATAATTAAATTCTAAGTAATTCCTTCTTACTTGTATACTATAAATTACGAGAAACAAAAAGTTTTCAACGGTAACATCTCGTAACGGAAAAACGATTGATTTACAACTAACAATTTGTAATTGTAATTCATTTCAGCAAGTAAAATACTCTGTATAATCTTTCAACGAAAAAAAATATTTTGATTTGAAATTATTAGAAATTCATTGATATTATTTAACTACATAGTTACAATGTCAATTAAAATAAACAATAATGGGACTTTATTCAATACTCTACGATTGTTTTAAATAATCAAATTTGTATTTCATAACGAGATTTTTAATGAATACGTCACACTGTACAACAGTAGCAATCGATTTATATGAAAGATATATTTGAATTGAATTACATACTACTTATACTGTAATTGTTAATTATATTCAAAAAATGATATTCTCAGTACGAAATATATTTACATTATGTACTATTACATGTCAAAATTATAAAAAAGGTAAAGAAAAAGTAACTTTTATCAAAGAAATCATATGAAAAACACGTTTTAGTATAATGATAATAGAAAATAGTAATGTAAATATTTTGTACACTTGTCCTTGAAAAAAAAAAATTAAAAATACAAATATGATGTTTTATTAGTTGTGACGCCAGTCCATATATTTTACTGACATTAATGTTATTTTGTATTTTGCATAATTTACAGGTATTTAATAAATCTAACAAATAGACCTCAATTTTATTATACACAATTAAAAGCACATTTTATGCACGAGTTACGCATGACTACACGCGAGTCTCGCAATGAAAAAAACAATACATACATACAAGTTATTGCGCACAAATCGTGTATAAATCTACGTATGTGCGTCGTCGTGTATCAGATATTAACATTTGTGTATTTACATAATAGAAAGGCATACCCTTAATTATTGTTTTATTGTTATTCATGTCCTTTGTGATTCTTTCAAAAAATCTAACAATTGCTATCAGTGTCCTAACGAATTTACAGTGAGCCGTTTAAAAACATTGATGCATTAGTTTACATGGTCACACATGTTTCTTTTTGAAAATTTCAATATGATTTAATTCCAAAAGAAATAATTTCAACTATCTATCCCTTTATTCCAACGCCGCATTATTTTGTGTACATATTATTATATGTAATCGTGTTTACTTTTTTTTGGCATTAACGTGACTTATGCATACTCGAAAAAGAAACGTATTTACATATGCATATCATGAAAAATAATACAAATTGTTGACAATGATCTTTATTTCTTCTTTATTTATATTAGAATTTTCGAATGATCAATAGAATGTTAGATTTAGATTTTTATCTTGTACGGTATAACAAATCACGTTAAGGTCTATTTATATGTAACAAATGTTATGAGTATAAAATCATCCTAAAAAATTGTTCATTCTGGATCGCTTTGAAGCGTCTCACCATTAGTGAGAACTAATGCGTCATCATCGGCTTCGTTATAATCAAGAGAAAGGATGCTCTCTCTTCTCTTTTTCTTATGTGTCCTTTCATCATCACTACCTGGAGCACTTTTGTCCCTTTTGGTCCTGTCCCTACCCCTTGTTGTTCTAGATAGCACCTCCTCCCCATTAGTTTTACTGTTACTTCTATTATGACTTTTGCTTCTTAATATCCTCTTACTGTTTCGATTTTCTTCATGTTCTTCCTCCCTATCACTCAATTCCTCATTCTCAACTTTAATAATCAAGGCGGCTGAGTCACTGGAGCTTTCATCGTTATGATCTGCTTGATTAGGCTTTCGTTCTACACGATCTGTTCTTTCAGTACTCGAGAACTCACACTGAGGCGACCGTCCCGATGATAACGGTGGAGTCCTAGCACCTTTGCACACATCACTATCCTCCGTCGACTTCGAAGTCTTTGTTTCCGAAACTGAATTTTCATCCAATTCCTCTTTCTTAATCGGTGGTGTATGTGGAGACAAACCATTCGTTAGGTTATTTTCACTGGAACTCGCCTTCAGTGCTGCATTTTCTTGCTGCAACAACGTTACCGACTCACGAGCTTTACGCAACTCCTGTTGCAAGAAATAAATTGTACTCTGCATTCCCTCTACATCCTCGTCCAAATCTTGCAAAAACTCATCTAATTCTATAACAAAAAAATTAAAAAAGATCGTAACTAACTTGTTTTTTTTTTAGCATACAGTCAGATTTCGGTAAGTCGAAGTTGAAGAAAAGTGGAAAATATTCCGAGTTATAAGAATTTTTAGATAGAGCTTCGACTGTACTTAACGTTGAGTGGTTATAGAAAGATATTAGGAAATAATACCTGACTGTGATTTCTTCATTTCTTCACTGAAACTTCTCTGAAGTGCAAGATCTCCTTCCAGCTTGGCAATTCGGCCACTGGCGATCATACGACCTAATTCTTCGTTTTCTTGATATAATAATCTGCACTTTGCCATTAATCTTTTTCCCGTATTGCTAAAAATGAATATAATACGTGAAAATATTTATGAGTTAAATTTTAGAATTAACTGGTTTCTAAGAAAAATATGATAAATATCTACCTGTCCGGTGTAAATTTCCACGCACTGAGTTCATTTTGGGTGTCTTCTAATTTAGCTTTCGTTGTAACAAGTTCTTGCCGCAATTTCTGGATTAAAATATTAACAGCTGGATCTAGTAGGGCAGATCTTAATGCGGCAGCGGACGGAGCATGAGCAGCTTTCATTTCAGCAATTTGATTCTACAACAAATATGCATTAAACTCATATTAAGAATATTAAAAGACAAAAATCTTCTTTATTACAGAATGTAGAAAATATGTACATACAATATACTCCTGTAGTTCCTGCTCTTTAGAGGCAAGTCTCCTGACTAAAATTTTTTCTCTATGAGATGCTTCTGCATGTTGCTGCCTGTATTTGTTTTCAGATTCTCTCAATGAAGTTAGTTCACCTATAAAGGAATATTATGTCATTTTTTCTTTTAATTGAAACTTCACTGTTTAAAACTATCTATGTGCCTCATCAATTTGTTACATACTTATTATAATCAATTAAATACAATGTATGAAATACAAGAGTTTCTTTCCAAACTTATAAAAAGACATATAAATATACAAATTTGTATATAAATAATTTTCAATTCACTTCAACAGTTACAGAACACATTATCTGCTTATGCGCGAATAATATATAAAATAATAATGTAATCATGCTTTAATTTTCACTTTTACATAAAAAAGGATTTAAACGATTATATATTTTTATATTGATATATACAAATATGTATTGTAATTCTAAATATGTAAAGAAAATGATAAAATATTAACTCAAGTTTACAAAGTTGATATATCAATACTGATGTTTAGATAGATGGAAATATAAACTAAATAAATGTATCAATTAAGGTCTAAGGATATAAAAATATCATAATCTTATTCACATTACACAGCTAGATAGCATTGTTAGAACAAGATTTATGATTTAACATTTATATAATTCCTTCTGACTATTTCTTTTATTATGTATCATTTCTATGGTTAATTTGTGTAAAACTCAAGTGTTGCATGTTTATCCGAATGATACATTTTTCGAGATAGTTTAAAAATTAGTGTACAAATGTATGAGACATACAGAGAGCTTAAAACCTTAAAATATATGTACATGTATAATATAATGGTACAGAATACTCTGCACACTTTTTTAATACTCCATAATTTTATATTTTTGGTGAAATAAAGCATAGTGGTGAAAATCTACTACATACTCTTTTGCCCTAAGTGCGCATAAACAAAATATGTTTTTATAGGTATGTGACATTGACTGCCTGACAACTGACATTTTTAATTAGCGCATACTTTGAGTTTGGAGTCGTTGCATCGTGCCATTTGTGAGATTCTCTGTGCTTCCACCGAGACCAAGAGTGGATGTTAATTTTCTTCCACAAGAATAGACAGACTACTTGTTGCAGACACAGATGTTGTCACAAGATGACTCCCGGCCTTATTCGATCAGGTTCGTATTTTTCATATTGGTATTTGGACATCAGGACATTATGGTGCAGGTACAAATGCATGCATGAATTGCGTTCGTAAGGGGAATAGACAGGGATGGATGTCTAGGAACATAAGTAAAGTTGTTCAGTTTCATCAGAAATATCTAAATATAAGATAATATTAAAGATATATAGATTGGGATAAGAATTGTTAGGACTGGAGAAAGCAGCTGGAATGTCAGATGGTAACTGCATCAATTAAAGGTTTCGTACTTCACCAAGACTTAGGTTCACGCACCCCTGGCACAGTGTTTTGTAGGCCAAAGGGATGACATAGGGCCTCTGTTTTAACTCTCCTGAGTTGTAAATTCAGAGCCAGCAAGGATGTTGTATTTCATTTAATCCTCGCTAAGTGGAAACTCGATATCCAATGTACACATACACGCACGCACTGTCCTGCTTCTGGCAGTGTAGTTTGCTACACTGTAGAAAGATACGCGCACACTGCACAGTCACTTACAAGATCATATTAAAAGTAAGCTGTGTGTGTTTATTGCGACGAGAAGAATGATTTATAGTGAACACATTCAAAGAAACCTCGTCATCTCTTCTTGTCACACAATATCACTTTTTTTTCCAAAATACACTTTGCTTTTAGTATTAAGTAATTTTTAATATCAATGGTAGCGCAACTCAACACCAGGCAATAAAATTTTGCATTATTTGCGCAATACTGTATTAGACTCTCTCATATATGCGGTATACATGACCGTCACACCACTTCTGCTCACCGATAAAATATCAAACACTGGTACATATTGGCGTTAATTTAATTGCGCGCACTACACATCACAAATGTAGTTTTGAAAATTTGTACAATATTAGCATATCACTAACCTGTATCTAAAAAATATATTACCAAATTGATCTATCCAATACTTAGACGGATACATAAAATTTTCTACAATTTACGTTCGCTTATCAATGTCATAAGAAGTGTTCTTAAGAATTTCACCTACATAATTATGCTATTTATTTCCTCAAGATTTGTTCAATCTTAAGACTTATAAGAAACTTAGTGTCATTAGAATCCTAAACACTTTAAGAATAAAACGCTTGGTCCCTATTCTTAGCGTCCCTATAAGAGTCTTGTCTCTTACGAGAGACCGTTGTGTTCTGGCATTCGTAAATTCGCTTAAGAAATGTGGTGAGTGAGATGGTCTCACTCATGTGATCTCAGTACCTTCCTGGGCTGCCGCCTGGGCCTCTAGACACTCCACATACAAGTCCTGTTCATGCCACTTGGCTGCTAGCTCGTCCTTTGTCATGCTGTCCAATTGCTGTTGCGATAGCTTCAAACGCCTTGGTTGCCTGGGGGATTGAGGACTGCTTGGTTTTCCCCCTGCACTATTGTTCTGAGGACTTCGTGGTGAGGATGGACCTGCGGACTTAACATCGCTGCACTCCTCTGCCATTTTATCAGAAGTTACTGAAACCACACCCAGGGCCTTAAGTAACTTTTGAGGTTGCTTCTTCTCCTTTAGCAGTTTATCTGCGATGAAAGTGTCGACGGTATGTTGTCAGTGCTAGCGCACATTTGTCTGAAAAGACAACATTAAAACATTATTCTTAGAAAAATTCAATATAAGAACAATTTAACAAATAAAATAATGAAATACGTTAAAAGTTTTATTTATTTAACAATTTTCTGCTGGTTCATTTAAAATTGATAAAAATTAACCTTAGAAATTTATTATCAATGTACATTTCAAGGTTACATAATTACAGTAGAACAAGATTAAAATAAAATTCGAGATACAAACTTGTTAAAGATGGTAAATAATAATTTGTTTAAAAGTCAAATATCTAAATTCTTCAAAGAAATTATAGTACTTTATACCACAGACTAGTATGTCATGTTTGATGTTTCATCGTAGAAAATACAATTTCCGCGTATAGGATATTATGTAAAAGCTTCTAACGTTCAAGCTATCACTGTTGGTTAATCATGTAAAAATATAATGCATACATGTATCATATACAAAAACTATTTCGCCGTTACAAATATCATTATTATCAATCAGGGACGGCAATCAAACTTTTCGAGGGCGCAGGTTCAGACCCGGCTTTTGGAACGTACCACGTGATTCAAACGGGTCACGTGGCACCCTTAATGTTTTATTGCGACATGCAGGGAATGTAGGATCCAGTTATCTATAGTCGAAGGGAACATTGACGCCATTATGTCGACATGTCTGCCATGAAACAGAATTTCGCGGTATAACATTGAAATTTGTATTCGCCTTGTTCCAAGCGTTGTTTAACACCACTTACACGTACAAATTATTTATCAAATTTCAGAAATCTATTTAGAAAATGTCTCGATGTTTATACAACTATCCAGATGTTCGGTTTTTATAGGATAAAATACAAATAAAGGCTCCTAATATTTAGCTAATGTATTATGTTCATTTCATGTACCTGATCTAGTGACACGCCTATCATTCCACTGAAGAATGTTTGTATCCAGCGTTGAGTATATCGTGAACCGACGAAACGCGACACCATATATGTGTATACGTACATATAGATATGCATATATATATACACACAAATGTAATTTCGTAGCTCTTGCGAGCAAGTAAAAACCACGGTTTGCGAGTTTCTCGATCGATCAATCGGTGAAGCGAATAAACGTTACGTGCTGAGTCTGTCTCGATGTTCCACGCATTCCAGATGCAATATTGATACACGCACTCAACAAATATATCGTGTAATTCCTCAGAAAGTATACCACTATAACTGAACACAGTAATGTAACTAATCACGAACAATGATTACCGCCGACCCCAAGAGTCAGAATGGCTAAAGAAACGAATATCAGCGCATGCTCCAATCACGGTTGTCCAACTACAATGCTGACATAGAAATGTCCGAATGAGTATGTGAATAAACACGGCATAGAGAACGTGCAAGTCAAAAACCAACACTCCGAAGAAAACTTCACGAGATCGAATAGGCCATAATTTCTTTGCTCACCAACCGTGTGTCTAAATCTTAATTTTACACTTTATTAATCCACAGCCATCTTAAGTACGGCGCAAGATGTAGATACATAATATATACATATATATTATATACGTATTTTAAACGTCGAATCACAGATTTCTGTACCGAGTAGATCTGAGTAGATCGTTGTGAAGTTCTAACTATGGAATCTAACAACATTTCAAGATGGCACGCCAAGCCCGCCATTTTCAAATTGTAGAACAGCTTGAATTCACAGGACAATGAAGTAATAGGAAAAGATAAACTCTGTTGCAAAAATAAAACACTTTAATCGTTTAAAAGTACATATTTAAATACTCTATAATAAAACGTCTGAATGACTCTTTGTTTAAAATTACGTAAATATAAAGCTATAATGTTTATCATCTGAAATACAATAAATAAAAATCGATTTAGTCTTTCGTAAGGGTAATTTTTTGTTTCCTAACTAATCCCGTGCTTATTTTGGAAGGTTGTACTGTTTTTTCTTTAACAGGTATTGTTTTTATAATTTTGGTTGGTGGCTTAATCATTGAAGTTGTACGTTTGCTTGGCGTATTATTTGTATCTAAATTCTGGGAACCGCCGACTCGAAGTTCAGGTGAAACGGTCTTCCTTCCTGTCACGTTAGTTCTAAAATTAAAAAAAAAAAAAAAGAAACACACGGTTTGACCTTAATATTTAAGTATTGAATTCAAAACAATTAAAAGACAGTAGCTTGAAATACAACTAAAAAATACTTTATTCGTCGTCATTAATAAGCTGTGATTACTGTATCTCTCGGTAGGTGTCGTTTATCAGTTATCGACGGATAAAGCATTTTCATCGTGCGTTAACAAACTTACCGACACGACTATACAACGTTGTATCTATTTAAAAAAATCGTATTGTACCTTCCAGTTCCCAACAACTTTTGTCCAACATCCGAAATCCTCGATAGCGATGGAACATTACAATTAGCAGACGAAGGAACGTAAGAACTATTGCGACGTATAGGGGGCCTCGGATTTCCTTGCTCCATTTGAATACTGCGTCGCGCTTTTAACGATTGTCCTGCGTTTCCAAAATTGGGTTTCGTCGATAATTGATGTTGATGCGTCACGTGGCTCAATCTAGGTGACGGTTTAACGTTACCGATGGTGCTTGCTCGAGATGGTTTGTAAGGATTGATAACAGCTGCCGGCGATATATTCGCAGGTGCCGATTTTATGGATGCGACATCATTATCTGACAAATAAAATGAAAAATACTTCATTTATCGAAATAAACGATTCATGGTAGAAAAGTTTATGGTTCAGTCGATGGTTACCTAGATTAGGCGATACGTCAATCGAAATGCTGGGTACTTTGTGTAATAACATTTTAAGAGCCTTTGCTAAATTTTGCTGAGCTCCTACGATATACTCCGCCGCGTTCTTAGGATTTTCAATTTCGTCTTGCAAAGAAAGTTGTCCCAAGGAATTCGATAATTCGGTGACTATGGCGGGAGAACTCGCAAGTTTTGGCGGCGATGGACGTGGCTTTCCTTCTAAACTTTCGGTTTCGATGTCGATGTCCCATGTTTTTTGACGTTGTAAAGAAAATTTACCTGGCGTTGGTGTTGGATTTACTGGCGAAACATTTCGGCTAACGGATTCAGGAGAACCGTTTTCAACTTTTTCTTTGGAAGTACGCTATATTACGAAATCCATCAAAATTAGTGATTCATATTTCATACAAATATGTAGTATGTCATATACTCACATTTGAATTCGAGCTGTTTGCATAAATACGCATTTCCGGTTCTGTGTAGCTACGTGCAACTCCCGCTGCGTTTCTCGCACTCTCCTGCATAGCTTTTAACTCGTAAGATGTACTACTCGAACGCGGGGAATTGAAATTCGTATCTGTGTTATGGTTGACATCCAGTTCGGATACGATCAACTCGAATAATCTGTAGGTTACATCATGCAAAACTCGAGTGATATCCTTCGATAGACGTGGCAATAAATTGCTACCTGTTTCCTCCACTTTTTGTACAATATTGTCCTGAAGTAAATATAAAATTATTTTACTAAAAAAAAAAAAAAAAATAATTATACTAAATATGAAGAAAGTGTAAAAGTTCTTAAATGAAAGGTAACAACCGCCAGTGAGTCTCCAAGCTATCGCGTTCAAAAAATAAACCCTTTGTTGTCCTCTAGTATAGCAAAACCTATACGTTTCAGTTTTTTTTTTTATAACCAATATCAAGTCGCGAGTAACGGTTACATTATACAGGGTGTCCCAAAAATGTTGTAACACCTTGAAAGGGGTGGTTCGGGAGGTGATTTGAAACAACTTTTTCCTTGGCGAAAATGTTGTCCGAGGCATCATTGAGGAGATATTAAGAGAAAACACTGACCAATCAGAGCGCGCGGATATCGTTGGAGCGGCGGTGGTAGCGAAGGCTACGCACTAAGCGGCTGCGCTCATACGCTACCACGAGCGCTCCATCGGCATACTCGCGCTCTGATTGGTCAGTGTTTTCCGTTAATATCTCCTCAACGAAGCCGTGGACAACATTTTCGCTAAGGAAAAAGTTGTTTCAAATCACCTCCCGAACCACCCCTTTCAAGCTGTTACAACATTGTTGGGACACCCTGTATAATAGGAATGAATTGTAACATCATAATAAAAATGATTACAAAAATGATTACAGTTTTACATACAATACTACCAATAGGTCCAGTACCACTGATGGTCCAAAAGGACGCGTCCTTGACATGATCAGAATGAGGACATCGACACGTGATATCTCCCAATTCCAAAATTGCTTTCATATTAGAGGAGCCGCATTCGATGGAAACTGTAATTACACCTGGATCAGGTGTGGAGGCGTCGTCCTCATCTTTTCTTTGAGTACTATTACGCTTCTCCAACGAAAGGAGCTTGAATCCGATCGCCTGTAAAAAGCTGGCCAATATCGGTACATCTGGCTTATTTGAATTTCGAACGTCGCGCGATTCTTCGATGTTCCCGTCGGTAGATGTGTTTATACCATTTCTCCATTTAAGCACCCACTGATAAAATTTTCTCTGGGCGACGGAATTAAGAGAATTTTGACTAGCGAAAGAAGACGTACCGATATCCATCCCGGCGATACATAAACTGACGAGAACAGGAAACAAACTGTTCCCAGATTTGTGTTCGAATTTTTTTTGCATCGGTGACCTAAGTAACGGGGATACGTACATCGATGCCAAACAAACAACAGTCCTTATCATTGCTCAATAACCGTTAGAATTAACACGACCGAATGAAGAGTTAAATTTCTATGATCGAACAATGTTGCAGCAACGTTCCTTTGTAGCATTGCGTTAAAATATTTTTCAAACATTCTAGCAATGTTACCAAACAACTACGTAAATATACGTTAATATATATTTATACATAATATTATATGCAATTTCAAATAGTAATGATGGAAAATATAATTGCTTGTTACCCATGATACTGTTACATAATTATATGGATGATAATGTTCAAACGATGAAAACAGGGGCAGAGAATTGATATAATTTATGTATATTTGCTAGTTCTCTATTAAATTATTAAATTAAATAATTAAAATAATAATTAAATTAAATTAAATTACTATAGACACTATGATAGCTTCTTTTATATTGCTATCTTCGTTTTATTCGTTATATTTGATAATCCAGTACTATCAAAGTCTCGAGCATATTATTGATCATTATTGATATTCTACTGTAATTGACAAAACATTTCAGCCATAAACTTGTTGTATTGTGTTATCATCTAATACGTACACAGGTATACATATACATATATCAAACATCACGAGCAGAGTAAACGGAGTAAAGCCATTAATCATGTACGTGTTTTTCATTTGTGTCATTGTTTCGGGTAATATTTAATAATCATGATCTTAAAATTAAAAATTTAAATAACTATACTTATTTAATCAAACATACAATGATCAAATTGTACATATTCCCTCATAAAAACCGTTAAAAATGCTTTCCATTAGAAATTTATTGGTTATATGTACATTCTGGTAGTACATATGTATATAAATGAAAATTTTGTAATTTTGTAATCGGAAATTATATCGATTGGTCACTGATCTTGAGTTAATTTTGTACGTCCTTTTGTTTTTGTTGTAACTGTGCCATTCTTTAAATTGTTCATATCATTAATACTATGTAATTATCAATCTTGAAGTTGCAGGAAACAAATCATTTCATAATCATGAATATCAGTTTAAGACACATTGTGGCAATGGGTGCATGTACTTTTGCGAGTGCTGTAACTATATTTCCACACACTAGAGGTTTAGAATTATATAGGCAGTTTAAAGCTAAATATCGGTGAGTATGCGAGAATATTTGATAATTTTGTATTACTATGTAATAATTGTTAATTTGATTGAATCTTCAAAAAATAGCCTGGATCAATCAGAAGAACCTGTTAAAGAGAAATTTAAAATAATGTTTGAAGAGGTAATGAATGATTTAAAATTAAACCAGGAGCAAAGAGAAAAGCTACGAATTTTCAATGTTTGTGGTTACGATGTGTTTCATGCTGGAACATTGTCAAGAAAGCGGGGTGGAGTAGTCGGAATTCCAATGAATTTTGATTATGAAAGCGTAGATACTATAAATAAAAACGATATAATATTAAATGATAAGCCTATCCCTTGGCATCAACAAGAAGCAAAAGATTTCTTAGAATCTCTAGTACTTTCAGAAAATGCTAAGAAATTTGCACTAGCCAGAGAAATTTTGAAAGTAAGAGAGCATTCTATAGAGATGGATACAATAAGTTGTCTAGGACATTTTCTATTGTTATTTTTTATCTATGATACATTTCATAAAAGAATGGTGCTTTCTGAGCGAAAAGTAGCCCGTTTCATGATTGCTTCTGCTGTATGTGTAGGAGGAATTGCTAGTTTCTTTGGATTATATAATTCAAATCAATATACGAATGATTTTAAAGTAGATACAAAATTATCTAAATTAGGTCCTGAATACATTGAAGGAGGCAAAGAATTTTATGAGAAATTATTAAAGAGAAATATTGCTTTACGAACTCTTTTAGGAAAAAATGGCGAAAAGTTATTTACAAAGAATGGGAATGAAATCTATTTCCTATGGTCAAAGCGTTTATCAATTCACGATAGGAGAAACTTTTTAGAAAGTGGAACATATTAAAGAACTAGCATGATATTCTTTCTCTGTCTCAGAAAATGTAGTTCAATAAATTGAATAATCATTTTGTATCTATTTCAAATATATATATTAATAATGAATTATTAGTGATATTCTAATTTATTTACATGTTAGAAATATATGATTTCTAATAAATATTTTTATTTAAACATATTCTATGAAATTTGAAATAAAACAATGTCATTAAATGTTACAAAGTCTTCATGTTTTCGCAATTCATAATATAACGATTTTAGGTAAATTTCAGGTAACAGTTATAACAGTAAATGTTTATTCCATTAATAAATTTATAAGTGGTTATAAGAGTTAATAAGAACATATGTTTATAGATGAACAGTTTACATTTATCCTTAATAAGATATATACTAAAAAATGAAATAATCATACCATATCATACATGTACTTACTTATCAGTAAACTGTGCAAAACTTTCTACATTATACATATATCATCTACATATTATGTATTTATAATTTTTAAAACCATATTAACTCTTTCGAACCATATGCTCTATAAATAAATACACGATACTTACAACCTAATATACAAAAGTACTTACATAGAGTTAAATTATATACACTATTTTGCACTATGTGAGACCCAGAGAACCAAGCTGAAACATTAAGTAATTTAAATTTAATATTTTAAAACTAATATATTTTTGCTAATGTCCTTACCAGTGTCATCTTATCCTCTTCTTTCTTAAGTATTTTTGTGGTTTGTTCCTGATCAAATTTAACAACTGCAGCAATTACTCTAGCAAGCACCATTGTTTCTCTTCCCATCATGTACTCGAATAAAATATTTCTAAGGTATTCAATTTCGGTTGAATCTTCTAATGTATCGTGTCTTAATTTTACCAATTTTCTAAGTTCAGCTAATTCTCGCCTTTGAGCTGTTAATGTTTGTTGAAGGGTGTGGAAAGAACCAGTATTCGATTGTACTGCTGCCATTGCAACTCGGGAAGTGTTTTCTAATTCCTAAATAAAATTTTATCTTTGGTTAAATTTTGTCTTCCTATTTACATATACTATCTTGATTTAATTTTACGTTTTATCTCGATTAAAAAATATAACTAAAATAAGATTGGATTCAATAAAAGAAAACGAGGGAAAGCTTTTACCTTGGTAGTTAAATCAGTTTGCATATCAGGCTGAAAGAAATATAAATGCAAATGAAATTTAAAAAATTGGAAAACATATCAAAACATAAATATTACATAAATAAAAATATCAAAACAATAGTAAAGAATATTTGAAACAAAGAAAAAAGATCAATAATTTTATCAAAAATAATTGACACGTTTTAATTTTGTTTGAACTAACCCTCCTTTCGTTTTGCCATTCTTTTGTTAATTCATTAACGTCTTCCTCGTGTTTTGCTTCCAAATTATTCGTTTTTTGTTGTACAATTGACTTCCATTTCTTTTCAGTTTCTCTAAGTTCATCTGTATGTTCCTTTTCCAGTAATGTAATTTTCTCCATTAATTGATTTATGTCTTTTGCTTTTTGAGCCATTAAATTCTTATTTTCTAAAATTAAATTTTCAATTTGTTCAGATTTTGCTGTTAATTCTACTTGCAAGTCTTTTAACTGTTCTTTATATTGTTGCATAATATCTGATACATAATTTTGCTGGTGGTCTAAGTAAAAGCATAATATTAATTGTAATATAATTGAATATTCATTTCTATATGCAATTTACAGTTAAAAAAAAAAGAAAATTTTAATTTAAACTAAATTAGGATTTACCAAATCGTTTCTCTAGTGCAGCATGTAACTCCTCCTCTTTATCATGTAATTGAGCTTGAAATTCTTTAACTAATTGTTTTAATCTCATACTTTGCTCTTCTTCATTTGTTTTTGATTCCTCTCGTAATTTATCTGCTTCATTTTTTAATTCATTATTGACAATATGCATCTGTGATTCCTTTGCCTGGAATGTTATTACTGCTTCATCAAATTGTGCCTTTAACTTTTTATTTTCTTCTTGTAATCTGTCACTCTCTCTAACAAGAGATTCGTCAACATTCATATTAGTATGAGCATTTTGTATTTCTTTTTGTAGTGCAGTATTTGATTCTTTAAGAATTTTTGCTTCTGTTTCTAATTTAGTAATCTCTTCCTTTAAATATTCAATATTACTTTTCGATATTTCTACTTCTGTTTCTGCATCTTCTTCTATTGCTGAAAATTTTAACCTTTCGATTTCTCTTAACAATTCTGTATTTTTAGTATCTAATAATTTTAATTCTGCCACTTTTTCATCTACTACAAGTTTTAATTCATCTAATTCTGCTGTTAACTGTTCTTTATTTACTCTATTTGTTGCTTCCAATGCATCAAGTTCAGTTTTTAGTTCATTATTTTCAGATTCTACTTGCTCTAAACTATTAATCTTAGATTCTAAATTTTGTACATAAGATTGAAGGTTTACGTTCACAGAATTCAAATTATCTAATTCCTGAATTTGATTCTTTAAAGAAAAATTGTCACTAATCAGTTCATTGTTTTGTAGATGTACTTTTTCTGATTTAATTTTTTCTTCATGTAAGCTATTAAGCTCTAATTTTATTTTATTATTTTCCTCTTCCAATGATTTTAGCATTGTAAGTTTGTGTTCTAATAATTCTACACCCATTGAAAGTTCTTTATTTCTCTCTTCTGTGTTTTTATTATCTTTTAAAGCTAATTTTAATTCTGACATTTCGTGAAGTAATCTCTCATTCTCAGTTGTGAGATGTTCTTTCATTTCTTTCATTTCCTTTTTACACAAAGCTAATTCTTCCATTTGTGACTTTAGTTCTTCAGTTTTCGAATGCAATTCTGTATTTAATACTGTTATTTGACTTTTCAAATTTTCTATATCTTGATCTTGTTCACTTAAACGATGTTTGTGCAATTCAATTTCCTTATTCAACTGCATATTGTCATTTAATAATTGTTGATTATGTTTTTCATAGTGTGAAATGTTTTGTGTCAACTTTTCATTAGTTTCGTATAATTCTTGATTATGCTTCAGAAATTCGTTTTCTTTATCCTTTAAATTCTTATTTTCTAAATTTATTTCACTATGGATTAACCTCAATTGTTCTAACTCTGAAGCTATAATTGAATTATTATGTTTTAGCGTCATTATTTGGCAGTTTTCAGATTTCAATGCATCTGAGTCTTTTTCCAATTGTTTTAACTGTTCTAATAACCCAGTATTACTAGTTTTTATTTCGTTGATTTCATCATTTAATTTTTGTATTGTTACATCTTGTTGTTCTTTGATAGCTTTTAACTTTTTCAATTGAGATAATTTTGTTTGTATCGTTTTTTGTGATGTTTTATTCGTATTTGTTAGTTCGGTAATTTGTTTTTCATGTTCTTCAATTAATTTTACATGATTTTCATCATCGACTTTTAAAGTTTCTATGCACTTTTCTTTAGTCCTCAGTTCTTCACTAAGAGTATTTATTTCTACATCTTTTTTAAGTATATTATCTTTTAGAAATTGTATTTCTGATTGTAAAGATTTTGTTTCTTCTTCCAACTTATTATAATTGTAATTTTCAGATTTCAATGACGCGATTGTTTCTGTAGTTTTCATATACTTTTGTTTCAATTCTTCCAGTTCCTTTGAATTTTTATTCGCCGTTTCGAGTTCTTTTTTCAGATCGGACACTTCACTGGTGAGTGACTGATTTGTGGCGTTAGCAGTCTTGAGTTCTTCTTTTAAAGAGTTTAATTCTATTTGTAATGATTTTACTTTCACCGACAAGTTTCTTAAATCATGTAATTTAAAATTAAGATTATCAACTTCAGCTATAAGTTTACAATTTTTTAAATCAAGTTCATTCTGTCGCTCAAGTTTGATTGACATCTCTTTTAACTGTTCCTTATATTTTTCCAAATCTACTTCTAAACTTGATCTAAGACATATAGCATCTTCTAATTCTGTTTTTAGTTCATCATGTTTTTGTCTAAATTCTTTTAAATCTTTTAATTTTGTTTGTAAATTTTGTACTTCATCATTTTGTATACAACCATTCTGTTCTAGACATGTAATAAGTACATTCCTTAAATCAGAAATTTCATTACTAAACTGCGTAGAGTGTTCCAATACATTATTTTTAACATACTGAGTGTCATCTTTTAACTTTTGTATAGAATTTTTGTAACTCGAAATATTTTTAATTAAAGTACTTTTCTCTTCTCGAAGCAGTTCAGTATTAGAGGTGACTACTTGAAGTTTGGTTCTAAGATCGGAGATATACGAATTACAAGATTTAAGTTCATCGTGTACTCCGTGTAATTCAATGATTTTACTTTCTAACTCCTTCTTTAACCTATTTATTTCTGTATTATCATCCACCTTTTCTTTAAGAGTTTTTATTTCCTCCTTAGCTTTCTCTAACATAATATTATAATTTTCACATACCTCATCTCTATCTACTAAAGCACTCCTCATGTTTTCCAATTCTTTATCAAGACTTTGCACAGTAGCTTGTAACTTTTCAATTGTTGTTTGCGCTTCTTTCTTCTTTTCTTCTATAATAATTTTCTGCGCATCTTGTTCATTCTTCAGTTCTGTGTAGTGAACTAGTTGCATACTTAGATTATGTTTATCATTTTTATATTCTTCAACAAGTTTTTCCAATTCCTCTAATTTATGTTTCATTTGTTCTAATTCATTTTCCTTTACATCTAATTTAAACTTTAAATCTTGAAGTATTTCACTGTCATCTACTTTTGAAGTATTTTCTGATATACTGTCTTCTTCATATTTTTCCAATTTTTTTGGAAGTTCTGTATTACGATCAACCTCTTCTTGATATTTTAATCCCATTTTTTTTTCCAAATTAATTAATTTCTCTTGCATTTCCTGCTGCATAAGTTTTAGAGCTTCTGATTTTCCTCGGGAGATATCCTGTATAACTTCCCGTTTCTCTGAATCTGATGTTTGAGTAGAATGTAGTAATTTTAATTTCTCCACTTCAGTTTTATATTTGTCAATAGTTTCGCTCAAGTTGTCCTTACATTCTGACATGTGTTTTAAGTCTAATCGGAGTTGTTTAATTTGTTCTTCTTTGTCTTCCAATTCTCTATGTATAGAAAGTTTATTCTCAGCTAAAGATATAACCGATTCTTCTTCACGCTTTTTTAAAATGTTCATTTGGTCGGTAACGTTTTTAATTTCCATAGATACATTATTTAATTCTTTTTCTTTTTCGTTATAGGATTTTTTCAGCGCTTCATAATCGGACTCTAATGTATTTTTCTCTGTTAGTATTTCAGTAAACTTTTCTTTATTCCGTTTTAAAGACTCCTTATATTTAAGAACAACATTTTCTAATTTCTTCAGTTTATCCTTCAATTGCACATTTTCCGTTAACAACACATTTTCATTAGAAAATTCACTATTAGATGATTCAGTGTTTAGATCAATCAGATTGTCTTTTACATTTTCTCTACAATCGTTAGCATTTGATTTCACACCTTCCAAATTTGGTTCGCTTGATTGCAAAAGTTTTATCTGAAATAAAAGAAGCTTTAGAATCTGTTATAAAATAATATGTTTCAACATTACCTTTGTGTTTAATGTATTTATTATATGTCCTTTTTCTTCTATGTCATTTCTCAATGCCTCTTCTAAATGAGCTTTTGCCTGCTGTTCTAGCTGACATTGTTCTTTCAAATCAGTTATCCGTCTTAATGCTTTATCTTGACTTTCGACTAAAACTGATTTCAATTTGCTGTTTTCTCTTTCTAAGTCTCGATAATGTGCCGCTAAATCGGTATATCTTCCGCGATACTTATGATATTTTGCTTGTACTTTTCGGTATGCTGAATATATGTAGTCTTTGGTAACCTTATCCAATTGTGGACTTATATTTTCATCTATTTCACTAGCAGATTGATCCATATCAGACTACAAAGAAAATAAATTAATGTTTAACAGTATTTAAAAAAGTTGTATATATTTAGTATTTTTCAATACCTCACCTGTAAATGATATAAATTAGCAGGGCTCTCATAAATTGGGAACAGCGATGATGTATCACTGGTAACACTGCTAATTGATGATCTTCTAGAAATACCTGTAGAATTTAACATGGGTGACATTAAATCCACATTTTGAAAACCATGTTTTGCAGGACTATTTTTCGGAGTTTCTGTAAATAAATATTTTAATGTTTTGTATTTCAGAATAACATTGCGTATTGGATAATTTTATTATACATATGAATATACACTATAAATAATTAATGAATGTATACTTTTATCTATTATAATTTTAAAACTACTAAAAGTAATACTCTAATCCGATGGTTTACTTCCTATATAACACAACTTTAATCGCATGCATAGAATGTAAACCAGTTGTAATTATCCTTATCTGCAGGTATCCTTATCACAAGGAAACAGATGTAAAAAGGGGAACTTACCATCTCCTTCCTCTGTCAGACTAAAATTGTCATTGGGTGCAGATAATTCTTGTATTGAACTATTGGATAATGCTGGAGATACAACTGCCTAAATTGAATCATAATTTATTAATATGTATAGCATATATAAATTCAGTTTAAATGTGTCAATACGATAAAATAATTGTCATAATAAAGAGAATTCATAAAGAACACTATAAGAGATCAAAATGATTCCTCTGAGCTAATTGTAACATAATTATGATTCTATGTAATCATAAATGATAATTAAAATCAAAATAAAAGGCATATACTAATTTAAGATTAGACAATGTTTGTATGATTGACGTCATCATTTAAAATAGATATTAAGGAAGTTTTTAATGGCACGTAATACACACAATTCATGCTTTTTAGTATTGAATGAAATGTCAAACCTGGGCTAATTGTTGCATGCTCGCCTGCAATCTGGCAGGCGATTGTTTCATTTCTTCGGCAAGCTTGTCTTTAAATTTTTTAAACATTTTCGCAAAATGTTACGAGCCCGTTTGTTTCAATTAAATTATGCGAATTTCCATAAACGTGTTTACGTGGAATTAGGTTGGGATCGAAAGCAGTAAGAGTCCAAGTTCAAACGTAATCAGGAACATTATCTCACAATGTTCAACAAGGCACCGTCAGAAATTATATGAATCGTTGACTATTACATCCAATACTACAATCTATCGAGAAGAATACGTTTCAAACGCGATATTGAAAATTTGGCGTGGAAACCATATACATATACGTAGTAGACACAGTTATTGCCATTGATGTCGATATCAGTAGACTGCTGTCAGATATGATTTTATCGAAACGTCAAAAATTCGTTCTTCGAATATATTTTATTGGATATTTGCTATAATTTCTTTTTATTACACACAATTTCGTTGTCCGTGGTCGTTCATTTTTACTTAAATAATTGATTATGAATGAATTTGAGATGTACAACTAAACTCTATCGATAAGTATGAGACAGTATTTCTCAAACTGGGGTCTGCAAAGGAAGAAAGAATATTACATGTATACTGAAATAAAATAAGTTTTCCATAGTATTTCATTTTTACTAAAAACGTCAAAAAGAAATTGAGATTATTTTATCGAAGGGATTCGCGGGAAGATAAAGTTTGAGAGACACTGATATACAGTATGATCTCTTACACAGGGTAACGATACAATTTTTATTTCTTTAAATATATTCTGATACAAATATAATTAATAAGAATTGTAATCACAACAAATTTACTGCTTTTCAAATTCCTTCGTATAATTGAAGCAAAAGAAAATGTAAATTCAGATAGAATTACTATATATAAAAGTATAGTATAGTACGCTTTCGTGCATTTGAATATACTTTATAATTTATAGTACAGTACAATCCAATCAATCTAATATAGTTTACATCCATTTACATCATTACATGTGAAGTAGTGTACCGTGGTGTGCCGCTGATTGTGTTCTTTGTATCACGAATTATAAGCTGATTTTTCGGAGATAACTCATATTCTCAATGATTTGATTCAAAAAGGAGACAACTGCTGTTCTGAGGAAAATGGTACAGCATTACTACAGATAGAATAAATGTATAACGATGTATAACCTCACTTTTCAGTTGTGTAGATAATGTGTTCTTTACAACTTTTGATACTTTTAATGAAATAATTTAAAAATTGAACTATGGATGATTGTAGTACAATTGGTTATTCCTTTCTATTTCTATATTTTGTTTTTTCTTTCACATTTCTCTTTTTTTTATATAACTAACAATGCGTAGGGTATATTTGAAACTGATGAAATAATGGATTAGTTTTGAGTTTTTTTTTTTATGTTAAATGAGTATTCCAATTACTACAAAAATAACATTTCCTCTTTCCTAAAAATTATAAGATATTAGTGTTAAATCTCTTAGGCAACTCTACATAGATTTGAAAATTCAAGCAAAAAGAAAACCTATGGGATTCCTTATTCATGGCTTGAAGAATTCTTTTATTATAATTTTAAGTGTTGTATATTTTATTTCTATTTTATCACAATATGTTATAGGCTTCAAACGAAGGTATACCACCACCTGCTGCAGTACCTGGGTTTTCACCAGCGACTCCAAATATTGCTTCTAGTTTTGTACCACCTATTATGCCAACTGCACCTTTTATACCTCCTCCCAGCCTGCCACCTGGTCCACCAGGTATAATGCCACCACAGTTTTCCATACCACCTCCTGGTTTTAGTTTTCCAATTAATGCTGCTCCTCCGCCAGATGCTGGAGTTATAGGTCAATACTTGTATTTAAAGAATATCCATTCATTTCTAAAACTATGCTTTACTTAGAAATTTCTTATATTTTAGCCGCGCCTCCTCAAATAACAGCACCAGGTATTCCTCCTCCAGCACCTATAGGAGACACATCTGGCATTCAGCCTATTTCAACTTCAGAAAAGAAATCTGATTGGACTGAGCACAAAGCTCCAGATGGCAGAACATATTATTATAACAGTGCTACAAAGCAATCTTTGTGGGAAAAACCGGATGAGCTAAAAACACCTAGCGAATTGCTTTTATCACAGTGCCCTTGGAAAGAGTATAAATCAGAGAATGGGAAAGTATATTATCACAATGTAACGACGAAGGAATCAAGATGGACAATTCCTACAGAATTAGAAGAACTGAAAGCAAGAATTGCAGCCGAAGAAGCTGCAGCTGCTGCTGCAGCAGTTGTCGCAAGCGCTACAAACACGTTAGTAAAAGTTACAGGTTATAAACTTCGGCGATATGTAAAGGACAAATTATGAGATTGAACTGTAATTACCAATGTCCTGGTCTTTCAGTATAGTTCCTGTAGTCATGCAACATTTATCACCAAACATTGCAGTTACAAATACATCTCAAACTAGTACACCGGAACCAGGTGGAAAGTCTGCAATTGAGCAAGCTATGGCTGCAACGCTTGCAGCAATAAATATTCCTACACCACCCGCAAAACCAGACGAGGACAGTAATTCTGCTAAAGGATCAGCAAACGATAGCCGCACCAGTACCCCTGAACCAAAAATGCAATTTAAAGATAAAAAAGAAGCAATTGAAGCATTTAAAGAATTATTGAGAGAAAGAGATGTACCATCGAATGCTACATGGGAACAGGCAGTGAAATTAATTCAAAGCGATCCTAGATACCCGCAAATGAAGAAATTGAACGAACGTAAGCAAGCGTTTAATGCGTACAAAACACAAAAGCTTAAAGAGGAACGCGAACAAGAACGATTGAGGTAAGTAGCATTCCATCATTTCATACAATAGACTCTATTTAAATGTATAGAAAGTGAGAAACTAATGTATCATTTTGAACAGATTAAAAAAAGCTAAAGAAGATTTGGAGCAGTTTTTGTTAGAAAATGATAGAATGACAAGTACAACAAAATATTACAAATGCGAAGAAATGTTTGGTAATTTGGAAATGTGGAGAGCTGTAGGTGATTCGGATCGCCGAGATATTTACGAAGATGTTATTTTTAATTTGGCTAAACGCGAGAAGGAAGAAGCGAAACAGTTGAAAAAAAGAAATACTAAGAGATTAGCTCAAGTGTTAGATACTATGACTGATGTTACATATAGAACTACTTGGCAAGAAGCACAAGCCTTGCTTCTACAACATGCAGCGTTTGCTGAAGACGCAGATTTATTGGAAATGGACAAAGAAGATGCCCTACTTGTCTTTGAAAATCACATACGACAATTAGAAAAAGATGAAGAGGAGGAGAAGGAACATGAGAAAAAACGTAGAAAACGACAGGAGAGAAAAAATAGAGACGCCTTTATCGTAAGTTTCATAAATGTTCAATGTCTTCAATTAAATTTACAATTGTTAGAACTAGATTAATTATTTTCCAGAGTCTACTCGACGAACTTCACGAACAAGGAAAATTAACGTCGATGTCACTTTGGGTAGAACTTTATCCAATGCTATCTGCCGACTTAAGATTTTCAGCTATGCTCGGACAATCCGGATCAACGCCTTTAGATCTCTTCAAGTTCTATGTTGAGGACTTGAAATCTAGATTCCACGATGAGAAGAAAATTATAAGAGAAATTCTAAAAGACAAAAACTTTGAAGTGCAAGTGAACACAACTTTCGAAGAGTTTGCAACCGTCGTTTGCGAAGATAGGAAGTCTGCGACATTAGACGCAGGCAATGTAAAGTTGACCTACAATTTACTACTCGAAAAAGCTGAAGCACGCGAAAAAGAACGGGTGAAGGAAGAAACTAGGAAATTTAAAAAATTAGAGACCGGTTTTAAGAACTTGTTAAAGACCCTCAACGTTGATTATCAAATGACGTGGGAAGATATAAGAATGAAGATCGAGGAAGAACAAGACTTTAAGGCGATCACATTAGAAAGTGAAAGAGTTCGAATTTTTAAGGAATATCAGCACGAACTCGAAGAAAGTTGTAGTCATCATCATATCAGAAGTAAAAAGAAAAAAACAAAAAAGGTGAAACGAAAATCACGATCCCGATCGCACAGTGTAAGTATACCATACAGCTTTATAGCGAGAATGTTTCTTATAGTTAATTATGTTTTGCCAGGAGTCCGAAGGCAGTGATAAAGGTTTAAAGAAAAAACGTCACAAGTCACGGTCACCTAGCGTTCCTAGCAAATCTGACAGTTCTGAGTCTGATACTAGAAAGTCAAAAAGGAAAAAGAATAAAAAGAAGAGAGGACGTAGCCATTCTGTAAGCGCAAATGTAACAAATGCACCTTTTAACTCCGATTGTTCTAAACTAGCTCTATAATTTATTTCAAATACATTTATTAATATTCATACGTGATATTTTTGTTCAGCGATCACATTCGAGACTTCCGTCTTCCGAAGAATCACCGGAACGAAAACGAAAAGAGGAGAAGCATAGAAGACCTTCGGCTCACAGTGAAGACTCTGTTACCGAAAATGCTGAACATCATGAACTCTCAGAAGACGAGTTGGAAAAACAAAGAGCACAATTATTACGAGAATTACAGATGCAACAAGAAGATAATTGAAGATAACTGTTTACTAATGATACTTCGTGTAACGTTAGACTAGTACGATATTAAATTAAACTGACTTTGTACAAACTTACTTTATTAATATATTTGAAAAAGTACCTTCAAGCTTGTATACTAGTAAAAGAAAGTTGAAAGCTGTTATATCGTTCTAAAATATATGCAAATCATAAATGTGTAAAAATAGATACTCTTACATAACTTGTTTGGAGTATACAGTTTTCTAAAAATAAATTTAGCGACTTAACACATTCCAAAATCTCTTTAAAATACATTTTTTCGCATACTTTTTTAGAATCATAAAGCAACGATTAAAACATACGATTTTATAGCCATGTATAATCTTATTTGATATGTTCCATTCAATTAAATATTCAAGATAAAACATTTTATTATACATTTTGTAATTATAAATTAAAATACGTTTTTTTTTATATGTTCCTTTACTGGAATTAAATTTTTTATTTTTCAAATCTCCATGTTACATTTGGAATGACTTTTTATTTTCATTCATTGTAACATTTATTATTCGGAACAGTATTTCATATTTCTCACAGCTTTGATCAGTGGACCCTCTACATTTCGAAGCTTCAGTTACGTCCCTGGTTCATAGTTGTATTGAAGGAGGGTGGGGACATGTGGGGGCAGGTTTAGCTCACTATTTGCTCGATGGTAGCCGCGATCGTCGTGTAAGTTTCGTGAATTCGGTACCTTGATCGGTCTTTACGGTGATTATTGTGAGCGAAACACATTGATTGCTCTGTGAAGCGTACGCGACAAAGGTGAAACGTGTTGATGTAAAAAGTTACAAGAAGAAGCGAACGAAAACGAAAGAAAATGTTGACCCTTTGCCGTCAAGTCTTAATCGCCAACAGTCAAAAGTGAGTATTAAAATGAGAAAGCCGAGGTGAAAAGCGTACACAAGCGGTAATAAAAATTTCGACAGTTAAACAGTCTGTTCTACTGTACGTATCAAATCCTAGATAACGTATATTGATTATTTTCGCGCATTGACACAAGGCACCGTATAACAACATCCGAAGGTAAATGAAGGGGCGCGCATATATGTAGGTAGATGTCAGCTTATTGGTGTTATTGGTCCTCCGATTCGTCTTCTTTGTCTAATTTCCTCTACCTTGTATCGTTCTTCCTTGTCTAGGAAAGGGATAGGCTACCTTGTGGCTCGGTCGGAATTTTCCACTGTAAAACGGATATGAAACGTGTCGTTTTGACAGTTCATTGACCAACTTCTTTGGTAATCCAGCACTTTTTTTTTTTTTATGTATTATGTTTACCTCAATCTAAGTGTCATTGAGCGTGCATTCTAACGTATTTTATAATAATAAGGTTTAGGATAATGTTTGCGAAATATTAGAATTGAATGACAATGCCGACAATCCGAAGAAATATATTCGTGCATACTATTTACACGTTTCGAACTTACATAATGTTGAAATTCCGAAAGCAAGTAAAGAAAATTAATAATGTTAACTTCGTAGCTATCGAGTATATGGAAAAAGAGAATTGGTCCATTAATAATAGAATAATAATTACGATAATATTATAAAAAAAACATACGCTTGCCATGAAAGTAAAAGAAAAAATTATATGTTATAATATACATCATTTCTAAACCAGTGGCTTAGTTACATATTTTATCAGGTGTGCGGCTGCAATAACGGCTAGCGTTTTCAATGTTACGTATTCGTTACGATTGTGTCAAAGAATATGCCGAGATATACGAGACTAGAAAAATATCGGAATGTTACGAGAATTCTGCAACTTTATAGATTGTTTATCTTATCGGCTATGTATTATGTCACTCGTGTATATGTACAGGAGGCCCCAAATGTTTCCGTCTATTTCGACGAGCACCTTTATGACATAATTACGCGTCTATTAGACATTATAAAATATAACTGAGAAGCTAACACGTATTTAAATACATATTATTTGATGGATTCGATATACTCCACATCAATATTTCAACGAATGTAAAATCGGTTAGCTACATTGTGAAATATATTACCAAGCTTAGCGATTATTTCTTGAACTCTTCGTCTCGCACAGATACAGCTTTCGAAGTTTAGTCGCGAATCGTTTTGTTTCTTTTTTGTAAATACAACGTTTCGTTCCGTTGATGAGATATGTCATCCTAAAAACACGTTTCGTGAATTATAAATAACGTGGATCAAAGTATAAAATACTAAAGAAGATTGAACAATTGAAACACAATGATATAGATATTGATATTTACGTAAAGATATTTGTTTGAAATTTAATTTATTTCTCTAGAACAGGAAAGGACTTTCGGGACATTCTGTATAAATGTCTATTTCAAATGTAATCGATATAAACGTTACACGTTTTAACCATATCATGTTTTGATTTAATGTACAATGGAAAATGTTAAATGTTAAGGATTGTCCTTCGTAAACTCTAACCTATACATTAGCGTGTAAGGTTCATAATGTATAATTCTTTTTACACTGTATGAAAAATACACAAATTACAAATCAATTGAGTAGAGTAAGACATTAGTACGAGTAAGTTGAACAGACGCATAATTTATAAAAAAAAAAGCGAAAAAATAGATACGAGGTCATCTTATAAAGTAGGAGCGCAAAGGAATGCAAAGTACTTGGAACTATTGTCAGATATGATTGTTAAGAATTTGAACGATGTATGTTGTTGTTAATTAAACTGGTTATTCTTGTTTTAATTTCGATACAAATTTGTAAGTTTATTTACGGACTGCATATACATAAATACATGCATGTCCTTGAAACGTGATATTTTTGTAGGCCTACATGGACGACATATCACGTAGCACCATGTTCCAAGGCATACGTGTTTCACCGGCCATCCGCAAATATGTAAATTACACAGCAGAATTTAGTGTTGACCCCAATATTTGCTAATCGATACGTGATGTTTTTACTTCACAGCTGTTAAATCGATCTGCTTTATTAATCGGAAAGGATTTTTCCACGGGGTTATGTATCAACGAAAATTAAACAGTTTTATGATTTCTCGAAATGAATGAAACAAATTGTTTATCATTTTTGTAACTTCGGGGGTTCGTTTGTAACGAAGTTACAACTTCATTGATAGAGATTAGATACATCGGTTCTGCCATTGAAATTTGTTTCGTGTAATTAGTAATATAGCGATAACTGTAATAACATGGTTCACTGACGTTGCGTTACATAATAGTCTGACCGTGGTATTGGTTTCACATATGCAAGCAAGTTTAAAATAACATCCTTATCTCCTTAAAATAAGTGTCTCTATTCTTTTATGTAACAATTAAATTAAAACGAATTTTCTGTAATATTTCTTACGAATAACTATATATTAATATTATTTAGTTGTTGTAAATATTATATTTAATAAAATACGGATGTATAATAGTATGTAGATCAAATATTAAATGTATGAAATTATTGCTTGTACATATTATGAGTTATATAAAAATACATACATACAAGTTTATGCGTATTTTTGTTTTGCATTAATTTCATCATATTTATTATTTATATTACTTTTGAACACTTATCATTATCGTTATTATTATATGACATCTTTTTGTTGTTATGTATATTTTAATTGTGAATATCAACATTTCTTTTTTATATCAGAAAATTAACTATTATTACATGAGGAAAATATCTTAATTCCTGAAATCTCGAGACGAAGATAACAGTATAGGTTTAACTCTTACCACAGAGTACACAGATAAACATTTAGAGATGATAGGGAGAAATGTCTGGAGAGTTAATATTTGTCTTTGTTTGATTCCATTATCTGATACATGCTTGTAAATGTAAACATAAGTGTAGTTAGAATGTTTAAGTAGGAAACATATAAACAATTAAGAAGGGACATTGAACATGAAATTAAACATGACTTCTGAGATTTGCATTACATAAAATGTTCATACTAGAGATGGGCAAAATTCTTATTTAGACAAAAAAGTTTGAACAATGCTAAAAATGAGATAAACAATTAAAAGTAATAATTCGTGTTATACATTGTGTTGTATTAAAACAAAATTTTGCTCATCTCTGGTTTGTACTTATTACTTTTGTTTACAGAGTCAGTACAAGATGTTTGGGAACAATAGTACCAGTACCAAATCTTCCTGAATTTCCTCTGGAAAATGAACCTGTCCTTAGTTACAAAAAAGGTAGCCCTGAGAGGGCTGCATTGGAGAAGACCTTGGATAAAATGTCTAAAGAATGCGAAGAAGTACCATTGGTTATCGGAGATGAGGAAATTAAAACTGATTTATGTAGATATCAAGTCATGGTAAGTCATAATATTTATTAATAATAATGATAAATATGATAGAGTACATATCAACATTGATAATGACATATCTTTTAGCCGCATAATCACAAAGCCAAAATTGCAAAGTATTACTGGGCAACGCCTAGTCTAGTCAAAAAGGCAATAGACGTTGCTGTGAAGGCACAGCGGGAATGGGAAAAATGTCCGTTTGAAAAGCGGTTGGATATTTGGTTAAGGGCAGCCGACCTTATGGCAAATAAATATAGGCAAGAATTGAATGCTGCCACCATGCTTGGTCAAAGCAAAACAGTTATTCAAGCAGAGATTGATAGCGCAGCAGAATTAATTGATTTCTTCAGAATGCACGGATATTTTGCTAAAGAGGCTCTAAAATATAAACCGATTTCACCCAATAGCAAAGAAACTTTAAACTCGATGAGGTATCGCGGAATGGATGGTTTTGTTGCAGCAGTATCACCATTCAATTTTACTGCTATTGGTGGTAATCTTAGTTACACGCCTGCTCTAATGGTATACATCTTTTTCTTAAAAATTGTGTTAAATAAATAAATTTAGTTACTATAATTAAAATATAAATGTACATTTTAAAATGTTTCTAGGGCAACGCAGTTCTTTGGAAACCATCAGATACAGCTCTACTTTCTAACTGGTGGATCTTCAAGATATGTAAAGAAGCGGGTGTACCACCGGGCGTAGTAAATTTTATCCCATGCGATGGTCCTGTTTTCGGCGACAATATAACTGCTT